ATTTAATTTTTATTTATTTTTTGTGGTAAAAAACACATAACATTAAATTTACCTCAACCATTTTCAACTATGCAGTTTCAAAAGTAGCAAATAGAAGTCACAGAGCTGAAAAATACAATAATTGAACTGAAAAATACACCAGAGGGATTCAACAGCAGACTAGATGAAGCAGAAGAAAATATCAGTCAACTCGAAGACAAGGCAGTGGAACTCATCCAATCAGAGCAGCAAAAGAAAAAAGAATGAAAAGAAGTGAAGACAGCTTAAGGGGCAACATCAAACAGCCTAACATTCACATTATAGGGGTCCCAGAATGAGAAGAGAGAAAGAAAGGGTCAGAAATCTTGTTTGAAGAAATAATGGCTGAAAACTTCCCTAACTTGGAGAAGGAAACGGACCTCTAGATCCAGGAATCCCAGAGAGTTCCAAATGAGATGAACCCAAAGAGACCCACAACAAGATACACTGTAATTAAAACATCAAAAGTTAAAGACAAAAAGAGAATATTAAAAGCAGCAATAGAAAAACAACTTATTACATACAAGAAAACTAGCATAGGACTGTCAGCAGATTTTCCAGCAGCAACTTTGCAAGCTGGAAGGGAGTGGCACGATATATTCAAAGTGCTGAAAGAAAAACACTTCCAACCAGGAATACTCTATGTGGCAGTTATCATTCAGAATTCAAGGAGAGATGAAAAATTTTCCAGACAAGCAAAAGCTAAAGGAGTTCCCCACTAAACTGGCCTTACAAGGAAGTTTAAAGAGACTGCTTTAAACTGAAAAAGTGCTTGCTAATTAGTAACAAGAAAACATATAAATCTCACTGGAAAGGTAAATATATAGTGAAGACAGTGAATGAATCATTTATAAAGCTAGTATGCAGGTTAAAAGACAAACCTGGTAAAAATATGATTACAATAATTAATGGATACAAAAAGTGTAAAATGTGAAATCAAAAACATAAAATGTGGGAGGAAAGTAAAAATGTTGAGCTTTATTAGGATCAAACTTAAATTGCTATCAACTTAAATAGACTGTTATAGGTATGTTTTTATATGTAAGCCTCATGATATCCACAAAGCAAAAGATAAAGAGAAAGGAATACAAGTATACCACTAAAGGAAGTCATCAAGCCACAAAGGAAGAGAGTAAGAGAAGAAGAAAGGAAGAGAGAGGAACTACAAAAACAGCCAGTAAACAACAAAATGTCAGTAAGTACATACATATCAATAATTACTTTAAATGTAAACGGACTAAATTGTCTGATTAAAAGACACAGAGTGAGGGGCCAGCCTAGTGGCGCAGTGGTTAAATGCGCGCACTCTGCTTCAGCGGCCCAGGGTTCACAGGTTTGGATCCTGGGCGCGCACTGACACACCGCTTGTCAAGCCATGCTGTGGCAGCGTCCCACATAAAGCAGAGGAAGATGGGCACGGATGTTAGCCCAGGGCCAATCTTCGTCAGCAAATAAAGAGGAGGATTGGCATCAGATGTTAGCTCAGGGCTGATCTCCCTCACAGAAAAAAAAAGACAGTGGCTGAATGGATTAAAAAACAAGATCCATCTATATGTTGCCTATAAGAGACTCACTTTAGATGTAAGGACATACACAAAGGGATGGAAAAAGATATTCCATGCAAATAGAAACCAAGAGAAAGCTGGAGTAGCTATACTTATATCAGACAAAACAGACTAAAACAAAGACTGTAATAAGAAACAAGATGAGCATTACATAATAATAAAGGGGTTAATCCAACAAAAGGATATAACATTTATAAATATTTATGCACCCAACACAGGAACACCTCAGTATATAAAGCACATGTTAATAGACAAAGGGAGAAATAAACAGCAATACAATAATAGTAGGTGATTTTAATACCCCACTTACATCAATGGATAGATTATCCAGACAGAAAATTAATAAGGAAACATCAGCCTTAAACGACACATTAGAACAGATGGACTTAATAGATATACCCAGGACATTCCATCCAAAAGCAACAGAATACACATTCTTAAGTGCACATGGAACACTGTCCAGGATAGATCATATGTTAGGCCACAAAACAAATCTTAATTTAAGAGGACTGAAATCTTATCAAACATCTTTTCCAACCACAGTGGTATGAAACTATAAATTAATTACATGAAGAAAACTGTAAAATTCACAAATATGTGGAGATTAAACAACCCGCTACTAACAACCAATGAGTCAAAGAAGAAATTAAAAGAGAAATCAAAAAATACTTTGAGAAAAACGAAAATGGAAATGTAACATACCAAAATTTATGGATGCAGCAAAAGCAATTCTGCGGGAAGTTCATAGCAATAAATGCCTACATCAAGAAATAAGAGAAGTCTCACATAAACAACCTAACTTTACACCTCAAGGAACTAGAAAAAGAAGAACAAACAAAGCCCCCCAAAGTTAGCAGAAGGAAGGAAATAAAGATTAGAGCAGAAATACATGAAAGAGAGACTAAAAAGACAATAGAAAAGATCAATGAAATGACGAGCTAGGTCTTTGAAAAGATAAGCAAAATTGACAAGCCTTTAGCTAGACTCACCAAGAAAAAAACAGCAAGGACTCATATAAAATGAGAAATGAAAGAAGAGATGTTACAACTGATATGCAGAAATACAAAGGGTCAAAAGAGACTACTATGAACAATTATACACCAGCAAATTGGACAACCTAGAAGAAATGGATACATTCTTAGAAACACACAACCTACCAACACTGAATCATCATGAAATAGAAAATCTGAACAGAACAATTCCTAGTAAGGAGATTGAATCAGTAATTAAAAACCTCCCAATAGACAAAAGTCCAGGACCAGACAGCTTCACTGGTGAATTCTGCCAAACATTAAAGGAAGAATTAATACCAATCCTTCTCAAACTCTTCCAAAAATGTATTTTATGACTCATTATGACTCATAAATCTCATTTTATGAGGCTAGCATTACCCTGATACCAAAACCAGACAAGGATGCCACAAGAAAAGAAAATTACAAGCCAATATCTCTGATGAACATAGATGCAAAAATCCTCAACAAAATACTAGCAAACTGAATTCAACAATACATTAAATGGATCATACACCATGATCAAGTAGGATTTATTGCAGGGATGCAAAGATGGTTCAACATCCACAAATCAGTCTGTGATACACCACATAAATGATTTGCAACATCTTCTCCCAGTCTGTGACTTAGCTTTTAATTTTTTAAATGAAGTCCTTTGAATTATACAAGTTTTTAATTTTGGTCAATTTATCTTTTTTTTTTTTGTGGATCAGGATTTGGTGTTATATATACACACTCTTTGCCTAACCCTAAGTCACAAAGATTTTTCTCATGTTTTCTTGTAAATGTTTTATATTCCAACTCTTACGTTTAGGTCTACAATTCATTTTTGGTCAATTTTTGCATATAATGTGAGGCAGGGGTCTAAATTAATCTTTTTGCATGGATATCCAGTTGTCTTAGCACCTTTGTTGAAAAGCTTATCTGTCCCCACTGAATTGCCTTTGTACATTTGTCAGAAACCAGTTGCTCATAGACGTGCGAGTTTATTTCTGGGCTTTCCATTCTATTCCATTGATCTGCATGCCTGTCCTTATGCCAGTACCACACTGTCTTGATTACTCTAGCTTTGTAGTCAGTTTTGAAATTGAGAAGTGTGAGTCCTCCAACTTTGCTCTTTTTCAAGATTGTTTTAGCTATTTTGGGTACTTTGCATTTCCAAAGCCTGCTGGGATTTTGATTGGGGTTGTGTTGAATCTATAGATCAGTTTGGGGAAAAATTGGTATTTTGCTACTTAAACAGTAATTGCCCTGTGCAGTCATAGTTTCTGGTTGGAGTTGCTATGATCTGAGTTCATATATATTAGGTCTTGACTGTGTGACAGGCTCAATTCCAGAATCTGAACTCTAATACAGCTGATTCTTCCTAGAGGGAAGCAGGTTGCTTCTTGCCTTATGGAATTCCACAAATTCCTGATTTACTCTGAGTGTATTCACGACCTCTTGAAGGCTGGATAGCCTCTTTCATACCCCCCAGAGGTAGACAGCTTGATCTTGCTCTCCATACCATGTGTTCCAAGTCCCCACACTGAAGTACAAAGGTAATGTTTATCTTCATGAATCTTTGGTGTGTAACACCTCTTGACAAATTTTGTTCTATGCATCTAGGCATTTCCGTTTAACATAACGAAACTTTAATTTGTATAGACTGCTTATTTCTTTTTTGACTAGATGAGGGTAAGCATCTTGTCTTGGATCAACTTTCCAGACAAATAAGGATTTTTAACCAGCTGTTTTCTGGAGGTCTGTTATTGGAAGACTTCAACCTCTGGAGCCTGGGCAGGAGGCTGCGGAGGACAGACTACTGGTTGAGGCTGCACCGCCATCTAGGGGTACCTGGGCTCCCCTAGAATCACTACATTAATTATTATTTAATTATTATTAATGACCAAGAAACTTTCTAATTATGACTATCTTACCCCCATAAGATAAGATTAAGCCCGGTTTTTGTCTTGCCAAGAAAATTGAGTTTTCATATTTGATCCTATTTTTAGATTAAAATATTTAAGAGATGGCCCATGTACTGGTTTAAAGAATCAATCAAATTAACCAGATTTGATTGTTTGATGCCATTAAGTTGTTGTTGTTGTTTTTTTTGTGGTGAGGAAGATTAGCCCTGAGCTAATACCTGTTGCCAATCCTCCTCTTTTTGCTGAGGAAGATTGGCCCTGGGCTAACATGCATGCCCATCTTCCTCTACTTTCTATGGGACACCACCACAGCATGGCTTGACAAGCGGTGCATCGGTCTGCACCCGGGATCCAAACCTGCGAACCAAGGGCTGCCACAGCAAAGCACGCGAACTTAACTGCTACGCCACCAGGCTGGCCCCCCAGTAAGTATTTTATAAACCCTTAAGATCCAGAACCAAAAGTAACTTCTCAGGAAAAAACACCAAAACTTGATCTTATTGGGTAAGAAGTTTTATTTAGCTCTCTTATAGAGTACACAAAATAAATACTTGGATAAGTCAAATCTAAAAGAGTATAATTTTCCCATAGGAAAGCACAAGGAGAAGACAAAAATATTGTGAGTTTCAAGAACTTCTGAATGAAGGAAAAAGTTCTCCACAAAAATCCAGCTGTATGCAATTCCAAAATTCATTTTATGAACCCCATCAAGACTCTACCAGTCCAGATATATTCAACAAATCAAGATCTCCAACTTGGTACACATACACTTCTAGGACTGGTATGGAGGTCACAAACTTAGAAAGTTCTACAGGATTTTGGCTTACAATGTCCCAGTTTACTCTTAGTGAAGAGGCAAAGGCAGATGTATATTATTATGGCTTCATCATTCTTTTTCTTTTTGTATTAGTATGTCTTGCTTTATATTTTCTCTGAAGAAATCAAATAATTTCTTTGATAATTTTTAAAGTTTCCAGTTCTTCACAGAAATGTTACATTCTTATTTCAGGGTTTCCTTCCAGACATTTTCAAGGTAATTGGCTTATAAAAAGAGAGAATATTTTAACAAAGAAAGTTTATGGACATTCTAAAAAGTAAAATTGCTTTATACTAGTTATGGTGTCATGATACAGTTTGGAAAATATTTTGCTCAAGTTTCAGATCACCTAGGGAATCTAGAAAAGTGGTTAACCTTTTTTTGATCAAAAGAGCAATTTGAAAATTAAAATGTTATTAATAGGGACAATTTATCTTATAGAACCTTTTCTTCTTTTAAAAAAATACATAGGATAACAGAGGTCTCAAAGTTTTAGATATCTATATAGTATATCAGCTCATCTATCTTCTAAAACACATTACTAACAGCTAGGCATATTTTATGAAATGTGATTAATAGTTTGCTTACCTTACTACAATATGGACATTCACCAAATATGATGTTAAAACTCTGTCTACTAGTCAGTAGTCCTCTCAACCACTGAAAATTTTAAAAAGATGATAAAGAAAACGAGCAATGTCAGCATGATTACAAATTACGGACACTCCAAATATCATTCCCTTTCTTTTTGAATGCATTATATTGTTATTCCAGAAGATTTACCTTCTTAATTTTCTTTTGCAAGAGTAAGGGGAACATCTCCTGAGCCAATACCAGACTACTGTAAACCAACAGGGATTTCAAGGTCTATACCACTGGTTTATAACCAAATTATGGGCCCCTTTAAGAATTTGATGAAAATTATGCACCTTCTCTACCCCTAAAACAGACATACACAAAAATAATGCATACAAATCCATGGGGTTCACAGACCCTATCTAAATCCATTAATCATAAATTAAGACCTCCTGCTGTAAAAGATACCATAGGCTCTTGAAAATTTAAGTCCTAATTCTGCTCTTAATCACCAATAGTGGGCGAATTCTCAATCCATTAATTACAGGATGAGGAAGTCCATTTTTAAAAATTAAATGACTATTCATTATTACAAAAGAAAATACACATTCCCTAAGAGTGTCTCTATAATTAGACATAGTATTTTATTTTATATTACCTAAGTTCTCCATTGTTAAAATGCAAATAGCACCAACTGCTATCTCTAATCACAAAAATCAGGAGGTGATATTAAGGAAGACTTTGAAAATGGAAAGTACCATACTACTGCAAGGTGTTTTATATACAGATGCACAGTTAATCATATGTCAGCTGTGCCCTAAGATGAATGCTTTAGAGAGCAAATGACTACAGACAGGAATGAAAGCAGACTTCACATGTAATAAATAAACAGTAAACAAAACGTCACTGACTGAGAGTGCTATGAGATATTCAGATTATAAAATGTGTTCTTCTCAATATCAAAAGTAGGATTATTAGATTTATTCTATATTTAAATCTAGCCTGAAAAGTAACAGGTATCCATAGTGCTAGTTCCCTTTTATTGCCACCACCACTCCCACTTGAATGAGTCTACAGTTTGTGCTGTGGTTACATGAGATGTTTACTGAAATGTACCAATTTAATTTCTTATGCATCAATAAGCAGTCCATAAATATATTCTGGACACCTTTTCCCCCTTGGATACTTGAGGACATTTCTTCACTCACTAGTAACCATGATGAAGAAATGAAGCATCTGGAATGAACTGGCAATGGAACTAATGGCAAAAGAGGAGATCACTATTGACTAAACAGATTTTAGATTCTGTATATTTCAAATATACATACTTTCTATGTTGTGTTAGCTGAAAAAAGTCTTGCTGATGTTATTTTTATTTTACTTTTACCTCATATAAGCATATTTGATGGAAAGGCTGTCCACACTGGGAATTATCACACACTTGATCAGGAATGGCACCATCAAGTTGATAGGCATAACAAATTCCACAATCCATAGAAAAATCCTTCAAAAGAAAAGAAATATTTAATAAGCAAATGTGTTTAAAACACACAAAGTGAGATAAGAAAGAATGAATGATATGGCACAGACAATATTAAATTTGATTATATAATAAAAAGTATATTTCTTTTGTTATAAAGGTAACTTCATCGCCGTGCAGCATACCTATTCATTTTATTGTGCTCTGCTTTATTGTGCTTCACAGATAATGCATTTTTTACAAATTGAAGGTTTCTGGCAACCCTGTGTTGAGCAGGTCTATCAGCACCATTTTTCCAACAGCATTTGCTTACTTTGTGTCTCTGTGTCACATTTTGGTAATTCTCATGATATTTCAAACGTTATTATTATATTTGTTATTGTGATCTGTGAACAGTGATCTTTGATATTACTATTGTGATTGTTTTGGTGCACCACAAACCAGGCCCATATGAGATGGCGAACGTAATCAATAAATGTTGTGTGTGTTCTGACTGCTCTATCAACCAGTCATTCCCCCATCTCTCTCCCTCTCCTCGGGCCTCCCTATTCCCTGAGATACAACAATATTGAAATTTGGCCAATTAATAACCCTACAGTGGCCTCTAAGTGTTCAAGTGAAAAGAAGAGTCGTATGTCTCTCACTTTAAATCTAAAGCTAGAAATAATTAAGCTTAGTGAAGGCATGTCAAAAGCTGAAATGGGCTGAAAGCTAGGCCTCTTTTACCAAACAGGTAGCCAAGTTGTGAATGCAAGGGAAAAGTTCTTAAAGGAAATTAAAAGTGCTACTCCATGAACACAAATGATAAGAAAGCAAAACAGCCTTATTGCTGATATGGAGAAAGTTTTAGATCAAACCAGCTACATTCCTTTAAGCCAAAGCATAATCCCAAGTGAGGCCCTAACCCTCTTCAATTCTACAAAGGCTGAGAGAGGTGAAGAAGCTGCAGAAGAAAAATTTGAAGCTAGCGAAGGTTGGTTCATGAGGTTTAAGGAAAGAAGCCATCTCCAAAATGTAAAAGTGCAAAGGGAAGCAGCAAGTACTGCTGTAGAAGCTGCGGCAAGTTATCCAGAAGATCTAGCTAAGATAAGTAATGAAGCTGGCTACACTAAACAGATTTTCAATGGAGACAAAACAGCCTTCTATTGGAAGAAGATGCCATCCAGGACTTCCACAGCTACAGAGAAGACGTCAATGCCCGGCGTCAAAGGACAGGCTGACTCTTGTTATGGGCTAATGCAGCTGGTAACTTTAAGTTGAAGCCAATGCTCATTTACCATTCTGAAAATCCTAGGGCCCTTAAGAATGATGCTAAATCTACTCTGCCTGTGCTCTGTAATTGGAACAACAAAGCCTGGATGACAGCATATCTGTTTACAACATGCTTTAATGAATATTTTAAGCCCACTGTTGAGACCTACTGCTCAGAAAAAAGATTCCTTTCAAAATATTACTGTTCACTGACAATGCTTCTGGTCACCCAAGAACTCTGATGGAGATGCAAAACAAGATTAATGTTTTCATGCCTGCTAACACAACATCCATTGTGCAGCCTCTGGATCAAGGAATAATTTTGACTTTCAGGTCTTATTATTTAAGAAATACATTTTATAAGGCTATAGCTGCCAGAGATAGTGATTCCTCTGATGGATCTGGGCCAAGTAAATTTTGAAAACCTTCTGGAAAGGATTCACCATTCTAGATGCCATGGAGAACATTCGTGATTCATGAGAAGAGGTCAAAATCAACATTAACAGGAGTTTGGAAGAAGTTGATTCCAACCGTCATGGATTACTGAGGAGTTCAAGACTTCAGTGGAGGAAGTAACTACAGATGTGGTGGAAATAGCAAGAGAACTAGAATTAGAAGTGGAGCCTACAGATGTGACTGCATTTCTGCAATCTCATGGTAAAACTTTAACAGATGAGGAGTTGCTTCTAATGGCTGAGCAAAGAAAGTGGTTTCTTGAGATGGAATCTATTCCTGGTGAAGACGCTGTGAAGATTGTTGAAATGACAACAAAAGATTTAGAATATGACATAAACTTGATAAAGCGGAGGCAAAGTTTGAGAGGACTGACTCAAATTTTGAAAGAAGTTCTACTGTGGGTAAAAAGGTATCAAATAGCATCACATGCTACAGAGAAATCATTTGTGAAAGGAAGAGTCAATCGATGTAGCAAACTTCATTGTTGTCTTATTTTAAGCAATTGCCACAACCACCTCAATCTTCAGCAACCACTACCCTGATCAGTCAGCAGCCATCAACATTAAGGCAAGACCCTCCACCAGCAAAAAGATTACAGCTCACTGACGACTCAGGTGATGGTTAGAATTTAATTAAAGTATGCACATTGTTTTTTTAGACATAATGCTATTGCACACTTAATAGACTAAGTAGTTTAAACATAACTTTTATATGCACTGGGAAACCAAAAAATTCGTGTGACTCGCTTTATTGCAATATTTGCTTTATTGCGGTTGTCTGGAACCAAACCTGCAATATCACTGAAGTATGCCTATATTATAGAAAATAGTCACATAACTATTTAACACCTTAGAAAAGCTATTTGTAACACAGTGCTTCCTTTTTCATCCAATGAATAATATACAAAAATGTACTAAAAAACAGATTCTATTTTTGGCTCACAAGATGTTTGGGTTTAAGTAATTTTCCCATTATTGTATAATATAATGCCACCGTAGTAGGTAAACATAGAAACAGACATTAACTAGTGATTACTAAACTTCAAAATTCTGTCACTAAAGAAAAAGAAAAAAATATCCCCACCACTTTAGTTGTATACAATCTTAGCAGATTTGTCAAAAATCAATTCCAAGTTTATTATTTTTCCAAGGTAGTGGTGTCTATTCAATTTTCAAAAACTGTACTGCCATCCTTCATAAACACTTATATCAAGCTAATTAGAACTTTATTTCAGTCATCCATAAGCAGATAGTATAGAAAATCCAAACATCTCATTAGTTACCTTGGACTTTTTCTCCTATTTTTAATAATAGATATCTGTCATTAATCACTTTACTACTAGGAAGACCATGAGAAAAGTACACTTAAAACCATCAATAAAAGGTTAACAAGTTCTTTGATGCAACTGTGGCTTGCAGTTCAGAAGTCTGTTATAATATTCTTCCAATTCCCTCCCTTTCAGCCTCATTTTCCTCTGGTGCCTAAAAGAAGAACATTTAACTTTCATTATGCAACACTGTTTGGAATATCAAAGCACTGATAAAACTTACAGATTTTTCCAGGATAGCACGAGCTGGAAAATCAATTTCTAAAACATCTTTCAAATTTTGTAAGAGACTATTTTCTGGATCCCTGAAAGCATGAAAAAAAAATGTTATTAAATTTGTAAAATCATAGAAAAGTGACAATTATATTGCAAAGATACCTACCACAAATGTATGTTTCTGCTCAGCTTAATTCCCAGGGGTTTTACCACTTCAGATATTTAAAAAAAAAAAAAAAGTTTAATAATTTAGGGTTTGCTGCTCTCATTTTGTAAAGCCACATTTAGCATAGAATTTTTTTTTTATTGAGATATAGTTGACATACAACATTGTATTAGTTTTAAGTGTACAACATAATTATTTGGTATATGTATATACTGCGAAACGATTACCACAAGGTTAGTTAACTTCCATCACTACACAGTTACAAATTTTTTTTCTTGTGACAAGAACTTTCAAGATCTACTCTCTTAGCAACTTTCAAATATACAATAATTGTTAACTGTACAATTTGTTTCTTAATGACTTGACTGGAAAATCTAAATCATATGTATTATGTTAAAAACACAACAGTACATAGTTCAGAATGATGAGACATTTTCATTTAAAATAATTACCATTAATATATTAATATTTTAGACTAATATTTTAAAAGTCGTAGACAAGGATTTTATGATCCTGTTAAAAACATTTAAATCTGAGATCTCATACCATGGTCAGCTCCAAGAAAGCAGCACTCAGGAAGCATAGTAGGATGCATAGGGTCTACCTCTATATTTATTGAAGCATTATTCCCTAGAATAAAGTTTTTAGAAGTAGAACAGTTCATCAAACAAACAAAAAATAAGAGTTATCTGTGTGGGTACTTATTTCATTGTATACCCAAGAAAAGATTAACCAAATGTTTTATAAATAGTTTCCTACAAAGGGAAATATATCACTATATTATAGTTTAAAAGAAGTAAATTTGGAAATTATGATCATGACTAAAGATTTTGGGATTCCAAGTTTCAACAAACAGAGCCAATACATAAGTTAATATAATTTAGATTGGAATTCTGGTCAGAGTTCTATTAAAATTTAAATAAAAATTTTCTACGGAGTGATAAAGATCTTTAATATAAAAAATTCAATCACATGTTTAAGAAATAATGATCTAAATTACTTTTCATAACTTTCTTGAAAAGTAATAGAACTATGGTCAAGCAAAAAAGACCAGAAATACACTAAATAGTAAAAATAAATATGTTTAAGATTTGAATTTTATAAAAACATTTCTGAATTCTTTTGCTCCATGTGAAGCTTTCCCCTATAACTTAACAAAGGATTCAATTCATATTAAATTGGAAACTGTTCATTTAATAACAAAAACAACAACTAACCTAGTTTGCAGAATCTAAGAAAAAGCTATTTCTACTTGGCATTAAAATGCTTTTATAAATTTTAGCTGTACAAGAGTATAGTACAAATTTCAGAAATTTTACTGCTGTAGTTTGAAGGTACATAGTGTAATTGTTTAAGGTCAATTTAGATATCATTTTTATGGTAAAAAATACCTTGATAAATTCTAGACACTATAGAATAAGCCTTTGGCTAAGGTTGGCAACAATATAAATACAATTATTATAGATCTGGCAAAAAGAGGTAATCAAGTAATATAAAAAATGACTACAAGTCATTCAATGAGGAAAACAAAAATACAAGAAGTTAACTTATAATCTCAGTTGTTAATGCATTATTTACCATGAACACAAATTCCATATTAGCCTTTAGCAATGTCATTTACTAATGGCTCCAGAAAGTACTTTCGCTTAACAACAATGGCTATATTAAACTAATCTTTCAATCAATTTGCTGAAAACTTTGTCCTAAAAAGGCAAATCAATGCCTGAAGGGAAAAAAAGGAGCTAAAGGGTCAATATAGAGAGAGTGAATAAAAACCAGGTTGTTTATGCTGACCATGAGAAATATAATAAAAGATATATTTAATCATCACCTGATAAAAATAATTATTTTAGTGGGGCCATGACGATAATAAATTACTACACTTATTTGAAGAAATTATTTTCATTCTTAATATTTACTTCACAAACATATCATAATTTAGTTAATTATTTCAAATTAAATACTGTTAGACTTCTTCAAACTGGGTAAGTAACAATACTATTTGCAGAACTGCTGCACAATTATACTTTCCTCTTCTCGTAATAACATGTCACTTCTTTTCCCCCAGGTAAGCTATTATGCCTGGGTAGAAACCATAAAAATTGCTCACTAATCTGGATATGATGCACATCAGAATTTCAAAATATCCGTTGGAATATATGCCTTTTAACAATATAGCTATTTTAGGCTAGGAAAAAAAGGAGGAAAGATATAAAGAGGTATGTTATAAGCATCTAACTACAGTATTTAGTGTGAACTCAGAGTTTAAAACATCTAAAATCTTGAGAGAGGTTGAATTCTAAAACTGACTTCATGTATTGCTTGCTCATAATGAAAATACATAAAACAATCATTCTGTAGTAAAGAGAATATGGTAATATTGCAAGGATGATATTATGGTTATATCACATCTTATTCATTAATTTCATATATTTATAGTAAAGAAAGTACTGAAAATACATGCAATTATTATTTTGTGCTTTCTGTTTACTCTTCAGTGGATGCATGGCTCACTTCAGGTTCTGTTATCCTCCTCTGTACTTTTGTCAGAAAATGTTCCCAGATTTGCTCATACTAATCTTGTCTAGTTTCACAGATGAAGACTTCATTATTTCTCACATAGCCTTTTTTCCCTAAGTAATGTAAATTTTGAAAAACCTGCTCCACTATTTCTGTGCTAATTAAAAGTTAATTAAACACTATCTCTGAATGTTACTTCCATTGGATCATCACCTTTTATAATGAAACACCTCAGCACTTGCCCTTTTCACCTGAAATATTTACATTTAAATATATGGTAATAAAAGAAATCATAGTTCATCCCAAAAAGTTCTAATAATGGACTTCATACAAAAAAAGTCTCATCTAAGAGTCCAATGTCATCTTTAGATTCATTCTCCTCGGTAATATAAAATACAACAAACATCTAAAAAAAAACCTGAATAATCCTTTTTCCCTACCTAATGCAATTCTTCGTGATGTCGCACTCCTTGTGGGTTTTTCTGGCTCAAGTACCCAAGTCTTTTCATCAATTTCATCCATAACATCCCAGAATGCCTTCAGTGATTCTAATGCTGCCAAAAATTGACTATGAATGCTTATTAAGGAGCTCTGTGAAAAGACAGATAAAAGCTGAATAAGTTATATGACACTCTATCAATAGCAGATAATCTTGCACTTAAAATACAACTCAATTTAGAAATTTTAAGCTCTTTCATTTCTGTTAAAACTAGACCCTAGGAAACAACAGTCAACTCTCCCAGCTTCACATCTCTTCACCTCCATTTGCATTAAGAGAATTGCTTTTTGATTGTCACGGGACCATGCACCTTATCAAGAAAGAAAGACTTTTTAAAAGCCATATTTTTATTATGATGCATTTTGTACTATACATATGGACTAGTAATTACTAATACAAGAAAATATGTACACACAACTTTATGTACATAATATATATATTGGGCATAGTGTCTATACAATTTTAGATTGAAAATATTTCCATTTTTGCTGCAGTTACCAAGTTAAATGCAGTGCTATTTGTAATTTGATTAAATTACTTTTAAACATTAACTTTTGCAGACTTAATCAAGCAAAAGAGTATGAAGAGATTCTACACATTTTTTAAGAATTCAAAAAGAAATAACAAACAAGATTTCTTTTGATGTTACACTTTAAGCCAATCTCTGAATTCAGTATTTCAGACATTAATCCTTTATGCAAATTAACTTAAATACATTTTCACTAAATGATAAGAACTAAAACCATCACTGATTTTAAAATTCAATTTATATTTACTTTCAGTCAAGAGTTTCTCATAAAATAATGTGATATGTTTAAAAGATACAACTATTCACTAAATATTTTTATATAAAAAGCAATCAAAACTAAAAGCTTTAAAAAGAATTAATTTGTTTCAAATAAGCAAAACATAAGTCACTGAAAATACTACAAATGTATTCATCCAAAATAATTCATAAAAGCCAACAATGCAAAAATATGATACATTCTGAGTAAGATGAAGAGAAAGTACTCACTTTCTTAAACATGTATTCTGTACTTATGTAAGGAAAGGAAAACCCATTTCATTTCATCACTTCTGTCAGGGTTTACACTTAGATGAATTCATAGCTCAGTTTCGCAAAGCTAGCTTCAACTCTTCTAACCTTCTATACATAGAAACAAGTATAAGAGGGGCCAGCCCCGTGGCTTAGCAGTTAAGTGCGTGCACTCCGCTACTGGCGGCCCGGGTTTGGATCCCGGGCGCGCACTGACACATCGCTTCTCCGGCCATGCTGAGGCCGCATCCCACATACAGCAACCAGCAGTACATGCAACTGTGACATACAACTACCTACTGGGGCTTTGGGGGAAAAAAAAGGAGGAGGATTGACAATAGATGTTAGCTCAGAGCCGGTCTTCCTCAGCAAAAAGAGGAGGATTAGCA